TTTGATGCATTTTCTCCATCTACTGTGATCCTTACTTTGTCTGGCCGCTGCGTCACTATGGCGTCTGATTCGAACAACACCAAACCCACTGTCACCCCACTATTGGCACCCAACAATATTACTGACATGAAATTTTGGATCAGAGGAATAGAGAACACACCGGCCAAAATATTCATCAACGAGCTCAAGCTAACTCCAATGCATTCACCGGAGCTATTCGCATTATTCATCAAGGGGAGGGGTTTCGATCACAAGGCCGCAAGCAGAACGATGATCGACGAAGGCAGCGAATAGATCATCAAGGATGGAGATGGTTTTGCATTTGGGTCGGGCAAAGTTGTTGAAGCAAACAGGTCGGGTGGAGCTTTGCAAGTTTCCATGGGTTTCAAATTCGCAGAGAAGGTTCCAGAGGCACCGGAGAGTGCGGTGCCAATTCCCTGCTATACGAACCTTGATGCTAGCGCTTTTGTCTTGTGCGTTCACGAAGAAGTGTTCCATGTGTGGCTAACGTATGTTTCACGGGGTAGCAAGCAAGATCCCATCAAAATTGGGCTTGACATTAATGGACGTAAGGTTTTTTATCTGAATGGGATTTGGGCTCTTCAAGCATATGTGGGTCCAAAAGCTTTTGATGGGATGAGGGGTATGCAGTCCTTGAAGTTTCAGCAGCAGATGTCACTTGGGCTTGCATGTAACGTCACAATGGGTTTTTGGATTAAGGGCATACTACAACAGGCTTGGGTTTTGATGCTCATTTTACTTCCAAGTTCTTTTTCTTTTTTGCGCCTGCAACAATGATGCAACCCAAAAAAAAAAAAAATCAAAGAGAAAGAGCTAGGGAAAGAGTTTAAGTCCCCCCTACTTTTGTACTGATCCTTGAGGGCAAGGATCTTTTTCTTGGGGGGAGTATTGATACGTGGGAATTAGGGATAAGGTCAGGGGTAGTTTGGGAATCTAGTTATTAAGGCTATAAATAGGGGCTTTGATTGGTGTGATTGTTGTTGAGTGAATTAGTATTTTCTTGTTTTAGTCTCTTCGCCCTTTTCAATGATAACAGTATGTGTCAATTAAGTAACTCTAGAAAAGGAAATGCCTTAACATTCTAAACAAGGTTAGTATGCAAAGTTATCTCCAAACAAACTGAATTAATTATGCATTCCATTCACGCCATCATCCCCAAGCCCATGAATGTGACTAAAAATATATCATAAAAACCTAGAGACAGTACTTGAAGCTTGGTAGTAAGCTTTTCTATGATCTTATATGGGTTTAAATGTGCTTCATTTTAGATCATTGTATTTTCCTAACCAACTAGGGAACTACCAACTGCAAATCCAATCATGCACTCAAAAAGTACTGAAAAGGCATACATTATTGTTATTGAACACAACACTAAGCCATAGATTTTTTGAATTATCTTCACTTGGTATATATGAGAAAAAAGTATCAAATCCATAACGTATTTATCAGGAGTCATCCATCAACCATTAAGGTAAATCAATATAGTGGATAGGGAGCATACCGGCAAGAACAATAACGCAAGGCCAAACATTAAATCTCGTCAAACGTTTGTAAGATGGTCCATAGTGCGGCATGGCATAGCACACATCAAATTGATAAGGCAATAGGAAATGATAATAAAGTACAATATAAACATCTGTAGAAGTGTTATCCGTATATACAGGGAATAAATAAATCGCCAATCATCAATTTGACATTCTGAAACAGTAGACAGCGCATTTAGTTTCAACGTACAAACTATTGCACATAAGTTAGAAATAAATTAAATGCTCAACGATAAGTATTGCCCTGCAATGTACAAAATATGTAATAGTGACAACTTGAGAGCTATGAAAAAATTACTCAATATTCTTGTCCCATCTGCTGGTACTGAACGAGTTCAATATAAAATCCCTTCCAATGCCAGCTTGATAAGTGAAAACTTACAGCTTCAAATTTTCAATACGGGAACAATAAGGAAGCACATCTTTTAATTACACGCTGTAAACGGATATACCATACAAATTCTTATTCAAATTATTTTAAATTATGGATCCCAATACTAATATATCTAATACCTAGAAGGAACAAAAACAGATAAGTTGCATCAGGTGACCTTTCAGAGTGCAAAGGAGTACATTCATTGTCAAAGGATCATCATATTGCAATAAATTGGAGGTCCAGTTACCAAATTGTATCCAAAAACGTATTTCTGATTTTTCACGGTTTTAATGCCAGAAAATAAACCATACAGGCAACGATTGGGGGGGGGGGGAGGAAAGCAGGTCTCCTGAAAATCAGACAAGCTAGGAAAAAACTGAAACTCCAAATTTGATATATCACAAACTTTCGGAAGAAAATACACAACGAAATAGGAGGCAAAAAAATGTGATGCGATCGCAGTGGGATTCGAACCCACGACCTTTAGATCCGGAGTCTAACGCGATATCCACTCCGCTATGCGATCACTTCTTGTAAAAACGATCAAATGAGGTTTCTATAAAGCCACGAAACAGAACCCGTATCCATTCTACGACCAAAGCCAAAGAAACTCTGGAAAATACCTTTCCAGAAAATCGCCAATGAGATAATCGGCAACTGCGAAGGATAGAAAATTTTCTGACCTATAAGAGACACTTAGCACAGATAGATCATTACGAAATGAAGCATGAAAAAATCGATGATGATCTTATAAGAAATCCTGCCGTGTGAGAGAGTAATGAAGGAGATCGTCCCTTCAGATACGGCCTGAGATGAGAAAAGCCAAGGCAAAGACACTGACCGTTCGCCAACGACGAGAGATCTCTGACTTTGAGAGGAACGGTTGTCTTCTTTGAGTTCCGTTGTAGCGTCGTGGATCCGTTGGGGCTCACGTGTTGAGCTGAACCATAAAACCTAAATTTAATGCTATTGGTAATTCCAATAGGCTCTCTTTTTTCGTTTGGGCTCTTGATGAGGCCTTCTCGTCGTTTATATAGTGTCCATTGCCCAATGATTGATGGGCCTTGCGTGAAACTCAGATATCTAAATATTGAGCGGTTAGTACAATTTTTATTCTTCAAAATTTGCATTAATTCTGATTTAGATTCTTCAAGTATTAAATTATAAGTTTTTGGTCTCTCAAAATTTTTTTATTTAAAATATTAGTCTTTATAATTTAATAAAAGTCTGAACCATTTTACCCTTTAAAAGATCAAAATTTATGGTTTAAAATTTAAAAGACAAATCAAAATTCTAAGTGAGGCCAAAAATATATTAACCCAGGTAATAAATTATTCCTCAACTCCTTAATATAAAAATTATTTAAATAATTTGATTAGATTAAGAAAGTTAGGTAAATTAGTTAATTATAATAAATATGACATGTTTTTCCTAAAACACCATAATCATTTTCCTTAATATCCTTTCTCCCTCTTCCACTTGATTATGATTGAGGGAGTATTCATAGGAATAATTTAGAAAAAAATGATAAATATGACAAATAGATCTAATATTTAGGACCAAAATCAATCTAATAATTAGATCTTATTAAAAAGTGGAGTATATTTAGTGTGCTATGTGAAATTGAGAGTCAACATTATGAGGATACCGGCTAGTTGGACTGGTTAAACCAGGAATTGATTTCAAATTCGATTTTCTCATAAAAAGGAAATTGGCTAGCCTAAGAATTAGTCAAGAATAATTTTAATTTATATTTCTAAGTCACAATTTGTACGTACTTACATATACACATTTGAGTATTGGGGAATGAACAGGCAAGAAATATGTGTGCATATATTTTAAAGTCACACATCGTAAATTTTGAAATGAGTATATGTTTTTGGGGAGAAAAAGCAAAACCATGAAATATGAATACTTATGTTAACTTTTCCAATCACACGATATGTCTCGTTTTTAAAATATTTCTACTAGAAGCTAATTTGTCAATCATGTCTGCATAGAAGCTACTTAGTTTAGTAACGATTTCAGCAACTTTAGTATTTGCTTTAGAAAAGTGGAGTGACAGAGTTCAGCAATCTTATCTGGTATTATTGTTTTAATTAAGAGAAGGCCTGGTCTTGATTATTTCTGGATAGCTAAACAAGGGAATAAGGCTGCTAAATTCTTAGCAGCTAGTGGAAGAAGAGGGATGGAGTCCATTAATCCAATAGATAGCTTGTAACATCACCATCAACAGGTTTTAGTGGCTGATTCTCTTCGTAAAGGAGAAAATTGCAAAGATGATACCGTTGGCCGAAGAAATCATCGTATGGGTATTGCCCTATTGGTTCATTTTCACCCTGCTTCATGCAGTCTCTTTTCATATGGTTTTGTTCAGGTTTCTTCTTGGACATGTGTTTGTTGTTCCTCTGTCAAATGGAAAGGAATAAAGAGAAACAAATCTACCTTTTCTCAGTTTTTATAGTATCTATCATCGTACTAATTGTATCGTATGTCAAGTAATGTTAGAAATTTGACACCTCCTTTAAAAAATTCCAAAGATTACGAATCCTCCGGACTTTCATGTAATTCAAAATAAAACTCATACTTATTTTAAAATTTGTAAAATTATTTTTGATAAGTTAATCCAAACACTCTTGGTGTAAAAGAAATTCGATGATACTACCTCCAATCCTTAATATAAGATTCTATTTGACTTTTATTTTGATCCTAAATATAAGACCCCAATTCATTTTGTCTCTCATATTTATATATATTTTTTAAAATAGCCCTTCAACAATGATAGTTCTAACCAATACACTTGATTAGCAAAGATATTTTAGAAAAGACAACATCTATTTATGACAAATAACTAATTCAACTTACTTCATTAATCTCCTCAAATTAATCAACTAGCTCTTATAATTAGGACCGGAGGTAGTAACAACATATAAATATTTGAAAAAAAAATTCTATTTTAAAGAAATTAAGCTGTGAATATTTTGATTTGCAGCCGGTTCCACTTATCCAATATGAGTATATGACAGTGACATTGGATTTTATTATTCATGTCTTGGATAACTCATTCAAAACTGTCCAATTAGAAAATCCGTACATGTGGAAGAGTTGACTGGATGAATTTATTAACGACGCCGTCTACGAATTGGAGCCGGACTGGCAACTTTGACCTTTCACCCTCGCATTTTGCAGTTAATAATACCCGATTCTTTCTTCTCTTTCGCAATCAAAGCAGGATAATCTGAGAACCCAGAAAAAAAGGAAAGAGAATGTGCTCGTTGGAGAAGAGGGGCAACATCTTCATCTTAACACTAACCGGCACCGACGAGCACAGGCTTAACCCTACTCTTCTCAATGCTATTCGCTCCGCTCTCCGCCGTGTCCGATCTGAAGCATCCTCCTCTTCCGCTCTCGTCACCACCGCGCACGGTAAATTCTTCTCCAACGGCTACGATCTCGCCTGGGCCGAAGCTCAGTCGTTCAAAGACCGCAAGCTTCTCATGGACTCCTTGCTCCGGTCGGTGGTCACGGATCTAATTTCACTCCCGATGCCTACGATCTCCGCCGTGTCCGGACACGCCTCCGCCGCTGGCTGTATCCTCGCCTTGAGCCACGATTACGTCTTGATGAGGAGCGATAGGGGCTTTCTCTACATGAGCGAGCTCGACATCAAGCTTGTCCTTCCGCCTTGGTTCATGGCAATTCTCAAGGCCAAGATCGGGTCACCGGCGGCTCGCCGTGAATTGATCATGAAAGCTGCTAAGGTCACGGCGAAGCGAGCGGTGGAGATTGGTATCATCGATTCCGCTCACGATAACGCCGAGGAGACGCTGAAGGCTGCGATTGAACTAGGCGAGGGCTTAGTTAAAAGGGGTTGGGAGGGACACGTGTACGCTCAGAACCGCATGCAGGTGCTGGCTGATGTGTTGGACTCCATTCGGGACACCCGCGCTGGATCACGGCTTTAATTTGTGTGTTCGTGTGTTTTTTTCCAACCTGAACTTTAATTTGTGTTTGAATATTGGAAAAATAAGACAAAATTTCTTTGTAATCATACATGGCCAGTGAGGAATTTTTAAATTTATTAAAATGACCCTATTATCCTGAGTAATTTTTAAAAGAAAAAAAGAGAAGCAAACGCAATAGGTGAATAATTCTTTTTAATGCGGTTATTAAATTCTTTAACGTCATTAACAAATTCGTCTCAAACGATATATTATTGGAGTTGTCAAGTGCTACTTTAATTCCCTATAAATCTTGTCGTCAAGGGTGATAATAAATTTATTGGTAGCGTCAAACAACTAGTTAACTGTATCGTAAAAGGCTAACATTTCTCATTTGTGATGTCATGGTTAATCTCTCTAAGTGCAAAAACCTCTTAGATCACGTGGTTTGTATTACGTAAGTTGTTAATATTATTATACAATTTATTAACAGCATTATTGACATTATGAAAGTGCCTCACTTTTAATTTCTTGGAAAGCTTGCTATTAAAGGCAATAACAAACTTGTTAATCAAACCACAAGAGTTGTAAAATTCTTCATTTATGATGCTATGACTAATCTCTCTAAATGTAGAAAGCTCTCAAATCACATGATTAATAGCATTATATGAATTATTAATATAGTTACATGACTTATTAACAGTATTACTAAAACTATAAAAGTTCCATTTTTTACTTTCCTGAAAAGCCCGTTGCTAAAGGTGACAACAAATTTATTAATAATGTTGAAGAATTTGTTAAATGTGTTGAAGGAGTTGTTAACCTATCTCTACTCTTCTTTCTTTCTTTTATAAATTACTTAGGGCAATATGATCAATTTAGTAAATTTAAAAATCTCTAATTAGTTATGTATAAATAAAAAGAAATTTTCATTATGAATAATTATTTGGGATTTCTAAATTTAAGCATAATTTTTTGTCATTTTTCCAATATTTTATTTGGTATGATATCTAAATTTAAACATCTCGCAAGGCAAAAGCGCATGGTAGTGCTCGTGTATTTGTGATACTCACGGTAATACCCAAAAAATAAGTAAATCAGAATTATACGTATGCAAAAGTTTATCGAGTTAAATCATAAGAGTTGGAGTTCATATTTGACTTTGACGCATTCAATGGTAATGCTCAAATAAGAAGGGAATAGATTAACGCTACATGTATGCCATTCATCGTATTTGTCATTAACTACTTTTATCATTAATATAATAATTAATTTGATATTTAATATATTTTTTAATATAAGACCTTAAATCCATCTTGTTTGTCATATTTATTTATTTTTTTAAAGTTGTTTCTATAGTACTTGCACATGTTAAAAATTTTATCAAATAATAGTTCTAATTAATACACATGATTAATGAAAATATTTTAGAGAAGACAACATATATTTATTATACATAACTAACTTAATAAACTTTTTTAATCTACTCAAATTAGTCAACTAATTCTTATATTAAAAAACGAAGGTAGTACTTGGTTGTGCATCTTCAACAGCTTTTTGTATGCTCTATTTTCATTTTGCCATCAAATTTGGATGCTGTTTTTTCCTGGACACTTCCGAGGTAATATTGGTTTTTGGTGAAAACTTTGAGACAAAAATGAGTATAAAAGAAAGCATAGTCATGCCCACATGGAATTATATTTGGCTTAAGGTTTGACGTAGCAGATGTTTGTGTTTGTTGATAGAATAGGATGACATTGTTCCTGATATATTCCTCCGGATACTCTCTCAACTATAATCAAATAAGTGAAAGAGAAAAAATATTAAGAAAGATGATTATGATATTTTAAGAAAAACATGTCATATTTTTTATAATTAATTACCTTACATACTTCTTTAATCTAATCAAATTAGTTAAATCAGTTTTATATTAAGGATCAAAAGAGTAATAATTTTGAGGTAATATTGAGTCAAAAAATTGTTGAATACCAATGACCCCCACAAGAAAATTTTTAAAGCAAAATTACACCTTAATTATATAATACTATTTGTTTGTAGTTTCCATATCACCAACTTATTTTTTGAAAAAATGACATTAAGGTCCCATAGAAGAGAAAATACTGCGAAAAAGTCCCTTCAAATCCGATAACTACTTAAGAGTCCCAAAGGGACTTGGTTGCAATAAGACAAATCATAAAAAGACTATGTTGTCCCTACTGAAATAAAATCTGATTTTGAACCCTATTTCTATTTACACATTACCATCTCACTCTCCTCTCAAAAACTAACGCTAAATCAACCATCATTAGAAGTAAGGAACCTCAAATCTATTTACCTTTGCCGTAATCATTGAAAATCATCTAGGTATAGGGCATCATTGAAGCTGTTTATGGTCAAAACAAAGTTGTTCTTGTCAACATCTCTGTGTTCATCCGTGTTCTTCATTTATGGCAATGTATTCCTTTTGTTTCTCTGCAAAATTTTTGAGTTTAAAATATTACACTAAGACCTTTAGGTTGGTGATTTAAGTTGGAGTTTCATTATGGGTGGGTAGGATGATGATGTGTGCTCTGTTTTTGGTGACATTGTGGGTGGACTTGCTCTGTTTTAGCATGGTTTAGCATGAAAAGCTGAAGAAGGTGAAAGTTGGTGTGGATAGAAACCTTTTCTGCGAAATGAGATATTGTGTTGTCAATGTAGGCTGTGAAAGTTATCAATGGATGCCGCGATAGTTGTCAGTAGGGCTACTTCACTTGTTAATGACAACTGGATGATTGTTGATGCAAATTTACATTAATAATGGCCAATACATCTGGGAAGCATTTATTTTGCTTTGTTCATATAGGGGATAAGTTTATAAATGATAGAGGAGATAATATAAGATATATTGGAGGTAGTGCAAGAACAACAAGTATAAAAGAAGGGACAAGTAATGAAGAGTGTAACTGAAACTGGTTATATCGATTGTGCTTGTAAAATGACATTTTATATTGAAGTTATTAAATGCTATGATAAAAATAGTTGATGAGATTGCGCTTACAATTTACGTTGCCACTTTTGACAATTTAATATGGTTGCATCAACAAGTAAATTATGAAGTTAATATCTATAGACTAGTGAACAAGTACTATTATTGTTTTGTATTAAATTCATGGATAATCTAATTCTATGAAGCCTATTACTTTATATGAAGGTGTTATTTATTTGAAATTTTCAATTAAATTATGTTTAACAAAGTAACTCTAAAAATGACATTAAACAGCACAAAATTTAACAAGTTACAATGGCCTTATGAATAAGTCAACGTGTAGATATTAACAACTGATATTAAAAACTTTCAAATAGAAGGTGTCATTTATTTAAAATGCTCAATTAATTTCTATGTAACTTAAAATGAAAATATTAACCAAAAGGTATAATCAAAATTTATGTTAATTGGATAATAATTTTTCAAAATTTGACAAATGACAGTGCCACCATTGACAAATCATAGTGCCACCGTTGACAAGTCACAGTGCATTTGTTGACAAGCTTGATAACGCTCAATTCGTCGCAGCCTCTGAAGCAATCCACTGCAGCCTCTGAAGCAAAAAAAAAAACAGAGAGACATTCTGTAATAGGCATCGCAGTGCTTGGATGATTCTGCGACAGCACCTTCGCACCTGGGCGAAATTCTATACCCTTGATTTCAATGTTAACAAGTCACAGTACGAACATTGACAAGTCACAGTGCCACCATTGACAAGTCATATTGCTACCGTTGACAAATCAAATGGTAATTACGATTTATTGATTTTTTTGTAGGTTAACAAATGTCATATTAATCCAGAATAATTTAAAATCACATTTTTTAAAACTTATATCTACAGTTATATTGACAAGTGATAGTGCAGTGAATGACAAGTGACATTATCACCATTAACAAGCGATGGTGTAGTTATTGACAATTCATTTTATAATTTTATATCAGTAATGATATACTTTTAATAATAATTATATACAATATTATAACCAAAATATAACATGTCAGAGTAATTCAAAACATCTCATGATACTAAAACCCATTATATAATTTGAATTCACATTTTAGATAACTTATATTAGTATATTAATTGACAAGTCATAATACAAGTAGTGACAAGTCAAAACAGGTTTATTGACAATGCAAAATGCAATAGTTACAACTCACATGACAGCAGAGTCTAACACATCAATTTATAACCAACTTTCATTTACACTTTCATATACATGGAACTACACTTATTTTACAACCCGTCTAAAAGAACCATATGGGTTGAATGTAATTACTAAACAAATTGTTGGTATGTATCTATTTACAAAAAAAAAAAATCCATTCACACCTATTTACAAAATATTCCTTTCACATCCATATATAAAAAATAGCTTATTTCAATATGTTCTCTGCTGAGATTTGGACTCTTGTTAATATCGCACTTTAAGTCATCAATCACAATTGAAGAAGTTAAATTTGACCTTCCCGAGTTAGAAACAAGCAAGTTGTCCTATGCAAGATAAATGTGTTCACTTCTATATGCTCTGACGGTTAAAACACAATATCTTGATGTGCTCCCATCAAGTATGCACCCATATACCATGGACAACTATCAACCTTACACTTCACAATGATCTTTTGTTGATTATTCTTGATAAATTTGTACAAAAACTTCTGTGATATGTTATACTTGTATAATTTTATTCTTGCACCACCTCCAATATATCTCATATCATTTTTTCTATTATTTATAAACTTACCCCTATATGAACAAAGCAAAATAGATGCTTCCTAGACGTACTGGCCATCATTAATATAAACATGCATCAACAATCATCCAGTTGTTATTGACAAGTGAAGCAACCCTACTAACAAGTATTGTGGCATCCATTGACAACTTTTACAGCCTACACTGACAATACAATATCGCATTTTGCAGAAGAGGTTTCTACCCAGTCCAATTTTCATCTTCTTCAGCTTTTCACACTAAGCCATGCTAAAGTAGAGCAAAGCCACCCACAATATAACAAAAAATAAAGCACTCATCATCATCTTATCCACCCATAATGAAACCCCAACTTAAATAACAAACCCAAAGGTCTTAATGTAGCATTTTAAACTCAAAAAATTTGCAGAGAAACAAAAGGAATACATTGCTATAAATGAAGAACATGGATGAACACAGAGATACTGACAACAACAGCTTTGTTTCGACCATAAACAGCTTCAATGATGCCCTATACCTAGACGATCTTCAATGATTATGGTGAAGGTAAACAGATTTGAGGTTCCTTGCTTTCGATGAGGGTTGATTTGGCGCTAGTTTTTGAGAGGAGAGTGAGCTAGC